TTGGCCTTAGATTAAGAATAATTTAAGATTGTTGGATGTATGAGCCCTAGAGGCCAATGTATGAAAGTATCTGAATATTTATCAAGAATAAAACACCCTAAAGAATGTTTATACATCTCGTGTATCTAAACATGGCTTTAGTCCATAGACTTAGCGCTCTGGTAGCATAAATTAGAACTACGATGTTCTGATTATGAGGTTGTTACGTTAATAGAGGCTATGTCTAAAATGTCCTTGGTTGAATATTATGATAATACGGACATCATAATATACTAAGACTAATACGTATGAGACAAGATAGCTGTGTCTCATAGGCTATGGATATTGTGATTAGACCTGTGCAAACAAGGGTCGACCCGTTCGGCCCGCCCAGCCCGCCCTTTAAAAAGGGCGGATATGGACAACCTTTAATACCTAAATGGGCGGGCCGGCCCAAGCCCGAATTGTATATGGGCAGATCTAGAAGTTACTTTAAGCCATCTAGGCCAACAGGCCCGCCCATATTCATCAAATATATTTACTTTATTATTACTCCCTCCGTCCCAGAGTATTTTTCCACTTTCATTTTTACACACCATCCAATACACTTCTTTAATCCATTTTATCTTGTAATTTGTATATTAAAAAATTATAGAAATTATATATTAATAATCTATATGTTAAGACAAGTCAAACAAGATCACACATGACTATATTTAGGCTTACACATTGAGAGAATTTGATGAGTCAAAGTGCTTAAATGAACATTTCCAAAAGTCAAAAGTGGACGAATATAGCGGGACGGAGGTAGTAATTACCTAGCCGATACAAATTTTAAAATTTTCTATAATTCATGTATAATAGTTTAATTCACTCACCTCTTTTAAAAAAAATCAATACTCTTTTAATGAATCAGTATGATGAGTTTATTAATTATGCAACAATATCTCTATTATGCTTTCTATATAAATGTGGTGACTGATTATTTTATTTTAAACATTAAAAAAGAGTTCAATGTTTTTTATTTAAATTTTTGTACAAAATAAATTTTCTTGATGTTTTATCCGGGCCGGGCGGTCCGGTGGGCAATCCGGCCTGTAAAGATGGGCGGATATGGGTAAAGAATTTAGCCCATCAAATACGGGCCGAGCCAGGCCCGCCCATGTAAATGGGCTAATAATTTATATTAAGCCCGGCCCAGATCCGGCCCGGATTCTTATTTGCATAGGCCTAATTGTTATATCTTAATCTATATGTAGGTACATATCTCGGGTATAGTACTGGACTGACCCACCATGAGAATACTACATGGGTATTATTTTAAATGTGTTAGTAGTATTCTCATTCGACCATTGCTATAACTATCCTTAGACTTGAGGTCGACCATTGGAAACGAACAAATAGGTCCTTGTTCGTCTATCTTCTCCTCTAATCTCATCGGAGAAACAATAGAGCTTTCCTCGGGCACTACTCCCTCCAACTCGTTATTGTGATTTTTATTATTTTTAATGGAATTTACTCGAACAAGAATACCTTTATCAAGCAAGTTTTTCAATGTTTCTTGATATTCATTTTCAAAATTAGCCCAAAGATTTTCTTGTTCGAGATAATATTCATTTTCATCAAATTCCTCATCTTGAGGTGGTTGGCCTAAAGAAGGTGTTCCTTCTTGAACTATGTTTGATTCAACAATTTTATCCACCTCAATTTCCTCATCCTCGGATTCATCAGCTAACCATTCATTTTGATGAATTTTATTAGATTCATTAGGTTTGAATTCTAATAATTCATAGAGATTTCCAATTTCCTTAAGAATATCTTCTTTTTCATTATTGAAAATCTCAAGATTAGAATCAGGATTTAAAGAAGAATAAGGAAACGTATAACAAAGATCACCTTCTTCATCTACTAAACCCTTCTTCTTAATTCTATTTGCCCAATTAAATTTCTTATAATGCAATCCATGTCATTTTTTATCGATTTTAATTCATTACTCATTGCATTAAAATTATTAATAGGGCATAGTGAGGAATAAGGAGATGAATGATTTTCTTGATAATCAGAGTTATTGTAATTATCCTCCTGCTCATAATTATTTTTATTGAAAAATGTAGGGGGATTATAACAATAATTTTGATTATCATAAAAATCAAAATAATTATTTTGATAATTTGGTAAATGATCAAAATTATTAAAACTATTAACATTCCTCCTATGATTCTCATAATCGTAAGAAATATAATTATCGTTCATAGGAGGATTGTTATACCATTTATTTTCAAAATCTTCATCATTACAAAAGTTTTCTTGAAAATTTAGTGAACAACCAAAATTACCATTATCATAATTATTCCACCTATTACCATTAAATTGATAATCATTTTCAACCATAGGTGGATTTTCATAAATATTATTTTCATAATGGTAATTTTCATTGTAATCACGGGAAAAACTATTTTCACACTATGGGTATGGAGGGTGATCATTAAATTGAGCATTATAAAAATGATTACTAAAATGATTCATAAAAAAGAAATTAAAAGGAAATTAAAAAAACAAACAATAATAAATAAATCTAGTAGACTAAAAATTTTCCTATGACAATATTAAAACCAATTAAACCGTGCCACTCCCCGGCAACGGCGCCATTTGACGAACTGCGTATAGCGGTAAGTCAACAAATAACCGAGTTGGACTTGGGTCGTTCTCTCCAGGAGCGACGAAGGGAATAATTAGTTTTATTATTTATCACAGATAAATTTATAGTCTAATAATATACTAAAAATGGAGAGAAATTATGAGTTTAATTGATTAAAATAACTAAAACAACTTTAGGAGTTAGGATCAGAAATCAGACTCAACACAATTTAACTCATCCTTTATTTGACAATTGGATTAATGAAATGTGTAGCACTTATGTCCAATATATATTCTACTTCTAGGTCTCAATATCGAACATAAATTGCTAATCTTATATTTAATACATCTCCTATTTCTAGGTCTCAGTATTAAATTATAAGATTATTATATTTTCAGTACATCTCCTATTTCTAGGTCTCAGTAATGTGCTAGAAAATGTTCAGCTTAAATAATTCTAAATCCTCATAGACAAGGCAAGAACTATTTTCCAATTATTTAATTAATAAAATGTTTAGTATTATTAATGAATTAAAATCATTCCAAACGGTTATTTCTAACCTTGCCTATTTCTAGGTGTTCGAAATGTGTGGCTTAATTAACCTTTTTACCTCATAGACAAAGTAAAAGATCAATTTCTAAGGATTAATTAATAATAAGAACAATTTTATTAATTAATAAAGATTAATTCATTTTCTAACAATTAATCCAATTACTAATAAATAGATGAAATTAAATTGGTTAAATCTTAATTCCGAATCCTAACTCATTTAAAATTACTAATTCATAATTTCAAACAAAACATTCAACATCATCATAATAACATATAAAATCCTCAAACACATATCAATCATCAACAAAAGTAATATTTTATTGATAAAAAGTTCAATAAAAAATTACAATAAAAAGAAAAACTTACAGTGCTTCAAGGACTTGAGAATTTATTTGGAATGATGAAATTTAACCAACACAATTTTTGTACAATGTTTAAAAGTAGAAAAGGGGATTTTTTACCCCTAAAAAGGGGAAAACCCGAATTGAGGAAGCATGGTGAAGAGAGAAGAAGTCGCTGCCATTTATAGGGGGTAGAGAATCGACCGGTGGCCTCCGGCTAGCCCGCCGCCGTGAAGAATCCAGAACCCGCTTTCCGCTGTTTGCCGACGATAGGCGGGCAGGCAGGCGGTCGCCTGCCAGCCCGCCGGCGCTCCTCCTTGCCGCTGGATCCTTTTCTCGCCGTCGCCGCCTTCTGACCGGCGGCCAGGCAGGCTGCCGCCGGCCAGGTCGCCACAAATTGTCGATGCGACCCTGCTCAAAAGTTCGTTCTGAACACTTTTTCTTTCTGCACCAACCTCTAATTCCGCACCGTTTGTGAGTTAGAATTATTTTTCTATTAAAAATTTACTCTTTTCACTTCATTCTTAGCCCAATTTTACATATTAATTCAAAGACATTCTTTTTATGATCAATTTATCAAAACATATACTCCGTATTTTTGATGAAAAGTAATAAATAATTTATTGTTTTGATACAAAAATGGTACAAGAACGAATTAAATATGAGTAAAAAGATAAGTACAAAACGGATTTTTCAGAACTCTTTTTTTTACAAAGACAGAAAAAGGCGGGGAAATTCAAAATAATCCCGCCTAAATGGGATGTAGGGTTTCCATTACGGCACACAGTTTTTTTAATAGACTACGGAGTACATCATTTTGATGCAGTTACCTATCCTATTCATACGGGAACGTTTTCCAAAGCATTCCCTCTGCAAAAAGACCCGTAATTATCATCTCTTTTCATTCTGGCACAGTTTTTTTAATAGACTACTAACTACTCCGTACATCATTACGACCGAGTATATTTTTGACTTTTCTCAATTAAAATTGGGAAATTTTGATTCAAATTTAAAAAAATGATACTCCGTATTAGATTTTGATATAAAAATAATTTTATTAGATTTATTTTATGAAGTATTTTTAAAATATTATTTTATTTAAATAATATACTCTGTACAATATATATTTTAAAAAGAAAATATTTACATTAAATAGTATCAAAATTTAAGTTATTTTTTAAAATAGAACTTAAATTATTTTATTTTCCAAATAATTTTTAAAAATGTACCGTGTTGATTAAAAAATGCTATTCCCTTCGTTCCACTCTCTTTGTCCACTTTTGACTTTAGAAACTGTTCATCTAAGCACTTTGACTCATCAAATTCTCTCAATGTGTAAGCCTAAATATAATCATGTGTGATCTTGTTTGATTTTTCTTAACATATAGATTATTAATATTTAATTTTTATAAATTTTTAATATACAAATTACAAGATAAAATGGATTAAAGAAATGCATATTAGATGGTGTGCAAAAATGAAAGTGGACGAATAGTCTGGGACTGAGCTAGTATTTAGGAAAATTGTTTCAAAGTTTTCCAAAGCTTTTCTTCTGCGAAAAGACCCATAATTATTCTCTCCGGGAAGTGGAGAGGTAATTTGAGTTGGTGGAGTTATGGATGAACAGATGAAGCAGCGCTCTTCGGGCGAGGAGCAGGTGGAGAGCCAAGATTTACCGAAGAAGATTAAATTGGAAAACGGAGAAGGTATTCTTAACGTTGTTGATGCCAAAGCCACGGGAAATTCACCGAACGATAAGATGTATTCTCTATTGGAAGACAAGGATAATGTAAAAGGGAAGATGGAGGAGAAAGTAGCGAAAGATGGTCTGATCAACGATGGTGGAAATGTGGAAGAGCTGGAAAACCGGGCATCCGAAGAGCAGAAGTTGCCTCGTAAGAGAGGAAGGCCCACAAAGGAAACAAGAGAGGGAGTAAATGATGTTGGGTATGGCGAGGGCAAAAATTGTACTGACCAGAAAGGAGTGGAAGCTGGGGAGACGAGGAAGCAGATGAGGAGGGCTGATAACAAGGGTATGAGTTATGAGGAAAGTCGAGCCGAAAATGGGGATAAAGTACAAGTCATGGATATGAAAATGGAAAATGGCTCGAGCGAGGAAGAAAAGAGGACAACTGAATTTGTGGTAATTGATGAAGAGGAAAAAGGAAAGGAAAATGCCATGTCTACTGTGTCTCTATCAGGAAGGCCAAGGAGATTGGCATGTCAAAAAACGATTGAGAGCTTGAGGAAGCTCAATGAGCAGGAGAGAAAGCTGGATGAAGCAGATAAAGAGGAGAGAAGGAATAAAAAGAGGAATAGGGGCAGGATGACAGGGACTGCCAAGGTTGCTTCGAATGGGGAAAGTGTTGAGACCCTCTCTAACACGGAAGAAATCTCAGAAGCTCTACCTAAAAGTAAGGAAAAAAGGAGAGGGAAAGCTCAGAAAACATATGAAGGTGGAAGGGAAAAAGAAGAAGATGAGAATGTCAAGGAAAATTCATCAGATGCACACACTCTTCAACCTAGTGAGAATGGTCCGCTTGAGCCAAAGATTAGAATGAAGATTAAAGATGTAAAAATATCTAGATTTTTAATAGTTAAATATGTTGATAAATTGATAAATGCTCATTTGAAAATTTCGTTATGGTTTTGGATATAATAGGGGATTCAAGTTGAATCAAATATGTGCCACCAGTGCCAGAGAAATGACAAAGGAAGGGTTGTTCGTTGCACAAATTGCAAGACAAAGAGATATTGTGAGCCTTGCATGAAGACATGGTATGAAAGCTTGGACTCAAGATATTCTTTTGTTTGTTTTCTATTTTATCTGTACATTGAGGGCATAGGAAGATATTGTGTTTCACTTTACTTGAGGGCATAGGAATATATTGTGAGTAGCATTTTTGTTGTCTGTCCATGATAAGGTACCCTCGTATGCAAGAAGAGGCTTTTGCAGAAAGGTGTCCTGTTTGTCTAAATAATTGCAATTGCAAAGCATGCTTGCGTTTGGAAGGGCCAGTAAGGGTTAGTTGCTCTTGCTCTTGTCATATATTGCTTCTCTTGGATATCATATGTTAACAATTATAGTGTTTTTTTTTGTACTTCATAGGCGTTGAAGGAAAATAAATATCAAGTCAACGTTGAGGAGAAACTTAAGTACTCTAATTATATCTTGCTAGCTCTTCTACCTCTCTTGAAACAAATCAATGCAGAGCAACTAATGGAGAAGGAAATTGAAGCTAAGATTAAAGGTAATAATTTTTCTTTCGGTGATGATGTGGAGCTCTATTTTCTTATTTGCAAAGATCTTTTGAAGTGAATGAAAGGGGATAATAAAAGTAATTGACTACTGAACTGCTTTAGACTTTGCAAGTTAGGGTTTGTTTGTTACCATGACAAAGGTTGATTTTACTTTAATAGGATATACTGATAGAGTTATGATGAAAACATCTTGGGTCTAATGTCTGATGCTAGAATTCTCATTTCATTTCTTGCTCCTTTTTTTAAAGGAGTTGCTGTATCTGAGCTAAAGCTGCAAAAAGCAAAGTGCAAAGTTGATTGGAGATTGTTCTGGTAAATCCTTTTATTTGCTTAGCTTCCACAACTTGAGTTAAATCTTAAACAGTTCTATGCTGAAGCATTTTCTTATGACGTGGTATTTGCAGCAACAACTGTAAGACATCAATTTTTGATTATCATAGAAGCTGCTCAGAGTGTAAAAACTATGATCTTTGTCTTACTTGTTCACGAGAGCTCAGAGCTGGCCACTTGCATGGGTCTCAAAAAGAAGTCATTATTGAATATATCGACAGAGAGCTTGAGTACATTCATGGCGAGGCCAGGTCAGAATCTCAGGCAAGAAAGTTTAAGAGATCTGTTAGGGCTACCTCCAATGAGAACACACTTGATCATCCAAAGAGTTCTGGTGGGTTCTCTCATCAATGGAAACCTGACAAAACTGGTAGAATTAATTGCCCACCAGAGAGTATGGGTGGTTGTAACAAGGGTACTTTGGAATTAAAACATTTATTGGGGGAGAATCATATCCCTGAATTGCTAGTTAAAGCAGCACAAGTAATGGAGAAAATCAGCTCAAATGACATGCCTGAATATTCTAAGCAATCGTGCTCTTGTGTAAATACGATCGAGGAAAGTGAGAGTGGTAAACTCAAGGTAAGAAAAGCTGCTTCTAGGGAAGACTCTGATGATAATTATCTTTACTGTCCGGAAGCCAAGGACATTAAGCATGAGGATTTGGAGCATTTTCAATTGCATTGGCTTAAAGGCGAACCTGTGATTGTTAGTAATGTTCTAGAAACTACTTCTGGATTGAGCTGGGAACCAATGGTGATGTGGCGTGCCTGCCGCCAGATAAAGAATCTCAATCATCCACTTCTTTTGGATGTGACTGCTCTTAACTGCTTGGATTGGTGTGAGGTCAGCATGACAAGGATCTACCCTCATTTCCCTCAGTTGCATTAGCTTGTTTCAAGTTCCATGCTAAATGTTATGTTATTTTTTTGATGACATCCAGGTTAATGTTAATATCCGCCAATTTTTTCAAGAATATATGGAACTTCGTTTTGATAGCTACGGCTGGCCTAAAATTCTCAAGTTGAAAGACTGGCCTCCATCCGCTTTATTTGAGGAGCATTTGCCTCGCCATGGTGCTGAGTTTGAAAACTGTCTGCCTTTCAAGGCATATACAGATCCTAAAAGTGGTTATCTAAATCTTGCTGTCAAGTTACCACCTAAATCCTTAAGGCCAGATATGGGACCAAAGACATATATAGCTTATGGAGTTCATCCAGAGCTTGGGCGCGGCGATTCTGTAACCAAACTGCACTGTGATATGTCGGATGCTGTNCCTCCATCCGCTTTATTTGAGGAGCATTTGCCTCGCCATGGTGCTGAGTTTGAAAACTGTCTGCCTTTCAAGGCATATACAGATCCTAAAAGTGGTTATCTAAATCTTGCTGTCAAGTTACCACCTAAATCCTTAAGGCCAGATATGGGACCAAAGACATATATAGCTTATGGAGTTCATCCAGAGCTTGGGCGCGGCGATTCTGTAACCAAACTGCACTGTGATATGTCTGATGCTGTATGCTCTGATCTTGTTTCTTAATTTTTTTTCCATATTTCTCTGCAAGATTTTGTTTTTTAGTTATTTTGAGTAATTTCTCATGTTTAAATATAATAGTAGAAGAAAATTAAGTAACTGCCCTTTTTTTCCATATTTGTTGTTTCAGTTGTTACGTTCACTCGTATTAAAAGTAAACTGTTTTGAAATTTTGTTGCAGGTGAATGTTCTTTTACATATCCAAGGGACAAAACTAAAACCTGATCAAGTTTTGCGTATCAGAGAACGTAAAATGAAACATGCTATGCAGGATGAGAAGGAACTATTGACATCCAATGCCATGAAAGAAGAAAGTCCTCAGAAAAATGGGAATGCTTATGGAACAGTTGAGGGTGTTGAGAATGGTAAACATGCTTTAGAAGGGGATCCAAACAGTGAAGTGGATGAAAACAGGAGTGGGAATATTAATGGGTCGGAAAACCACTGTGATGAAAATATGCCATCTAAAAGATGTTTGAGAAGTAGAGTTAAGGGAAGTAGAGGCAAAACTGAGCAGGAAGAAAAGAGTGGAATGGAGCAGCGGGTTAAAAAAAGTGGGAAACTTAGGAAGAATAAGAATGAATCTCAGAAGGAAAGGGATCCAAAGGGAAATGATTGTCCTGAGATTGAAGAATCTGATAATGGAGCTATATCGGACGAGTATGAAGAATCTGAAGGTGCTCTCTGGGACATCTTTAGAAGGGAAGATGTCCCTAAATTGGAAGCATATCTCAGGAAACACTTCAATGAGTTCAGACATATTTATGGCAGCCGAGTACCACTGGTTTGGACTCCTGCATTCATTTAATATTTACTAATCAGTATTTAGAGCAATGCACAAATTACATTTATGTAATGTCTTCTCTTCACTTAGGTTGTTCATCCGATACATGACCAAAGTTTTTACTTGACTGTTGAGCACAAGAAGTTGCTGAAAGAGGAATATGGTTAGTTCTTGTATGTTTACTGTTTTATCTGATTTTAAATCCAAATCACCAGTGCTGTGATGTAATGTAACTGTGCAGGGGTTGAAGCATGGACATTTGTTCAAAGGTTAGGAGATGCTGTTTTTATACCAGCAGGTTGCCCTCATCAAGTCAGGAACTTGAAGGTATGTTTGTGTTTACCCTATTAATTTGTTTATTTTTATTTAATTATTGCCTCAAGGTTCTAGTGGGGCCCGCAAAACGTTCATACTAGAAACGTTGTACTTTTCACCTACGACACACGGACCAATTGAGCTGTTCACTCCGGTTAGGGCCCTTACGGAAATAGGGGTCAATTCCTTTAACCCAAAATCGCTTAGCAAACTCAATGCATCCAGTATGTGATGTAATTGACTTACTATCAGATATCTGAATGCCCAGCTTACTAAGGATCTCCCGGTAATGCGACGCAACGTTACCATCAGTGATGAGAACATCTGGAAGAAGTGGTCTGTTACGTATTAATTGTAAAGCATTTTTAGCCTTTTTTTGAAGTTCATTCTCAGTTAGATCTTGTTGCTTTCAAATTAATAAAAGTGTTGTTTCCTTAAAAAAGATCTTGTTGTTTGAGGTTTCCGAATGATGCCATAATAGTAATAATAATAATAATAATTAATATCAAGTTTAATTAAACACCTAGGGGATATACCTTTCCTCTTTTACCCTCTAGTCAGTTCATGACAAAGTAAGACATTATGAACTAAGCTTCTTCCTTTTACAAAAGCACCCCAGTTCTGGTTCACAATAGTTGGAAGGATAGGCTTCCATCTACTGCACAAAATTTTGGATATAACCTTATAGATAACATTGCAGCAAGCAATAGGCCTCAACTTTTGGAATGACTGTAACTGAAGTTAAATTGTTTTGCTTCAAAAAAGTCCCATTCATAAAGAAATCCAGTGCAGTTGTAGTAGTCAACTCCCCTATAATCTCTCACTATTTTTTAAAAAAGCCACTACTAATCTGGACCCGGGCTCTTACAGTTTGGAATCCCAAAGAGAGCTTCCTTCACTTGTTCCCTTTTCACTTCTGAAATAAGAAACAGCTGCTGTTCAATAATAAGCTTACTTCCTTCATAGCTGCTACATCTATTTTCTCATTCGTCAATTTTTTCTTCCCACTTGAGCGTGTAAAATTCTATCTTTTTAAAACTATTTTATTTAAGAATTGGTATATCAAGAAAATTTTCAAATAAAGCTATATAAAACTATAGAAAAACAAGATGTGAAAAGAATATTATAGCTTATTTAATGATTAATGAAAACATATAAACAAACATAAGTTATCGAGATGTCGTGATGGTAGCTAAGAACAAAACTAGATGGAGTAAAATATAAATTACTCTAACCTTCTCTCTTCTTTTCCTCACCTTACTGTAACCTTCTCTCTCTTCTTTTCCTCACCTTACTCTAACCCTTCCTCTCACTTTTCTCTCTTCCAAACATCTTTTCTCAAACATTCCCCCACCACTAAAAATGCTCTTAGTCTATTATTACCTATTATTGTTACTATTATTGCAACACTTGGACCATAAATATTTCTATTTATATATAAATATAGAATATAAAAGTATGATAGTTCAAAGCTACGTTTCAAAATATATCTATTGATATTAATTAAATTTATATCACGATTCAATGTATTTTTTTCATAATTTATGGTCAAAATTTGAAACGTTGCCCACAAAAATCAAATGAGAAGAAAGAAATGGGAGGGAGGGAGTAATAATTTTTGCCCAATGATATTCAGGATGTTTTAATATTGATTATGTGTCTTCTTTTCAATTACCCAGTTCGTAGGTATGGGTAATTGTCTAGATTTTCATGTTTGGATGGACAATAACGTATTATCATTCTTTGTTTTCAGTCATGCATAAAAGTTGCAGTTGACTTTGTTTCGCCTGAAAGTGTTGGGGAGTGCATTAGATTGACTGAGGAGTTCCGCACACTTCCCCATGATCATAGGGCAAAAGAGGATAAATTAGAGGTAATTCTATGTGAACCATTAAATGAAATAAGACCTTTTTGGGACAACTTAAAAAGAAAGTAAGTTCCTTTAAAGATGTAAGATGTATAATATATGGCTTTGGTGTTTGTTTGTGGGTTGTGTTTTCTTTCAAAAATATCTTTTTGTGAGTGTCTATAAATATTTAAAATTTACATCAAAAGTTTTACAAAACAAAAGATGGGCGATATATAGCATTATTTAATGTTAGACATTGTGAATAATAAACATACAGCTTAAATTGGGACAGAGAGATTACATTTTGTAATTCGGTCTACTCTATGTTGCATTTGTCTGTAGATGTAAATGCAAGAGATTTAGGAACTTGATTTTGAAAGCTTCATTTTATCAACAGGTGAAGAAAATGATGATTCATGCAGTGGATGATGCCGTGAAAGCTATTTTGTAAGCACTATTATGATGTTAAACTTTCCAATTGCTTTTGAATGGTTATAGTTATTTTTTTTCTTTAAATTTTTTTAGGGTCCGTTTGGTATACGGAATTGATGGAATTGGAATTGAATTGGAATTGAAATTCCATGGGATTCAATTCCATAGAATTGAATTCATCAATTCCAATTCATTTTTTGCACTATCAATTCCAAATCCACATAATTTTTGTGCTACCAAACACCAGAATTGGAATTGAAGTCCTCAATTCCAATTCCATAATTTGAATTCCGTGTACCAAACGGGGCCTTAGTGAAATTCAATAAAAGCCCTTCTGCTATGCTTGATTAGAAAAACAGACTCCCTGCATCAAATATTTCCCAAAAACCCTTGTTATTTAAAAACTAGTTCTTCGTAGACCATGATTGACTTTGAACAAAAATTGATGGAAATTATTATTTTGCCCTTTTTGTTTTACTTCCTCTATCCTAAAAAGGTTCAATATTTCCTTTTCATTTGCTCCAAAACAAGTACACGGTGACGCCGTGTAATCTTGTCAAAGCCAACGTTTTGGACAGAGCATGAACAAGGTTTGTAAATACAAAATCTGTCTAGTTGATTATACGATTAATTAGTTTGGGTCTTGGTTGGAATATGAAAACTTTTTTTTCGGGACAATAAAAGGGCAAAATAGTCTTTTTAAAATCTTTTTTTATTGCCATGAAGAGCTAACTTTAAAGAGGCTCTTGTTCACTAGTAATAATTTTATATATGCATAACAAAATGGTTTTTATTGCATTTTACTATTCAATTTTTATATGCGTATTATTAGGATAATTATTGTTATCTTAGGGCCCGTTTGGTAAATTTTAGAAATATGATAAGATATAGGTTATGAAATCTTGAAAAAATAATATGCGTTTTGAAATTTGAAACAAATTTGTTTGGAGAGATTTGAAATCATAATTTAATTATTGATAAGCGGGGGTAACCGGAAAAGAGAGTGGTTGGTAGTGGCAATGGTAGCCGGTGACGGGGAATGATCAACGATTGAAAGAAATATCAAACCTTCATATTGATATCTCACAAATTTGGGAGATATCAAAACCCTTCAATTTGAAGATTTATGATATCTGGAGATATCGAATTCGATGTCTTTTGGATTCACCAAACACCAGAAAAAGATTTTGATGTCCGAAGATATCAAAAGCCATATCCTGTTTGCTCACCAAACGCATCCTTAGTTTCATTGGCGTAATCATCAGGATCTTTCTCAGATTAATATATTTTGCATAAAAGTCACAATTTTGTGCGAGTATTTTGGATATATGTATCATTTCTAGTTCGGTTCTATTTGCTTCTCAAAGGAAGAGTTACAATATTAAGGGCTGTTTGGCAACTTCTGAATAAGTGCTGAACCAGTAAGAGGTCTGAACCATTAAGTACTGAACCAGTAAGAGGTTTGAACCATTAAGAGCTAGTATATTGCTTAACTATTCACAGGCAAATGTCTGATCAATTCAGATAAGAGGTCTTAACCATTCAGATTCTATATAATACTTAACCATTCAGAGGCAAATGTCTGAACCATTCAGACATCTGCTCACCAACAGTCTGAACCATTAAGTGCTGAACCATTCAGACATCTGAACCATTAAGATGCTGAAACAAACAGCCCCTAAAATTATCCCTAACCAGTGACTCTATAGGTCATAAGGAGTATGTGCATCAAGTATTGATTTATTGCATTTTTTTCTTTGCAGGGAGCTAAAATAATGAATTTGAAACGTGGGGAATCAAGCTTTGTAGATCGAGACGTGTGACTGACCTTTTACTATTAAGAAAACAATACTTTTTTTTTGTTTGTAAATTGGTGGTTTATACTCGCTTGTAATCTCGTTTTGCCAAGATTTGGGGATTATTACAACAATTAATCCCAACTATCAATCTACCTACGTTAAATTTTAACCCTTCTTTTTTTTTAAAAAAAAATTGTGATTTTGTTATGATTTCTCTCCCGCTTTAAAATTGAATCTTTCTTTTCCTTAAATTTATTTATAGTTTTGTATAAACTACCTTTAAGAAGTTTATATGAATATATATTATGCTCCCTCTTGTTTAATTTAAATTCCATTAATTTTGAAATAATTTACATGTTTTTTACCCTCCTTATCTCAAACTTATGTAATTCACTCCCACCCTCCACCAACTTTTTTTCCACTGCTTTTTTCATGCATCATTTTCTCCCATCTTTTAATTCATTGCCTTCCACTTTCTTTACTAACTCATCATCTTCTCCCCCTTTCAATCACCATCAGTCACGTTTGTTCGCTTACTTGCTTTGGTTCATTAATCTTCTTCAATTCCTTTTTCTCATATGATTCCATTTATTTGAGTCCACCCAGTATGTTTTTTTATTTAGATTTCAATTTTATCAAAGTATGCAAGTTTTTTTAGTTTCTATTTTTTTCGATCTTATGTTCAGACAACACAATGCAGGAAGGTTCTCTAAACGAGCTAGATGAGACCTTTGACGATGGTTTTGGAATTCATTAGAAGGTTGAAGATGAAGTAACAAGACAGATTTAAAGAGAGAAGGGATTGTATTGATTATTCAAGAATGAGCATGTACAATCAAGAATGAGTAGTATTTATTAAGTGGCTAGAATCTAACAGCTCAACTAACCACCTAACTACCACAATCTACGTGATGTGGCATCTAGCTATACCATTCTTTGCCCCTTAAAGACAAAGCTTTCCGCATACGAAATATATAGCTCTACACAAGAAAAAAATTCTAGAAATTTTTGCTCAATCTCTTTAGCATCATTCCATGAAGCATCTTTTATCCCTTGTCCTTCCCATTGCACCAAATATTGGATACCAGCTCTAGCACCTTGCTTGACCAATCTCCTTTTCTATATAGCAATAGGTTTGATTGTCTTCTCCACATTTCATCATTGCACCCATATGGGAATATGTGGTTGTTTAGGAAGAATTCCCTTGAAAAGTTTGAGCTGTGACACATAATATGTGTGATGGGCTTGTGCATTTGGTGGTAACTCCAACTTGTACGCTACCTTCCCCACTTTTGCTAGTATTTGAAATGGTCCATAGACATTAAGAGCTAGTTTTCTATTTTTCCTTTGCAGCATGGTTAGGGTTGGAGCTAAAGCCACACCCATTCTCCTACCTTTATTTGTCTTTCCTTTTGGTGAACTTTCATCCGGTTTTGAGCAACTGGTAGTTTAAACCTCAACATTTGTATACTTCTCTTCTTTGAAGGGATCTATCCACATCCATATTGGTTTCTTCTAGCAGATGATAGGAGGTGGTTGATTATAAACCACCTCTTAAGGTGTCATCTCTGGACAAGAGTGAAAAGATGTGAACTCTGTAAAATGAAGAAATTTTAAAGAGTATTATTTCTTCGAGTACAACAATGCATTATTTCTATCTTTGACCAAAAATGAAGAAATTTTTAAAAACAATAATCTTTTGCTAAAGCTGAGTTTTATGGATAGGTCTCGAAGAGATGAATCCAACGGTACATTTCATGAACAAATCTGATTTATAAATTTTGAGCTGTGACAATTTTAAAATATTGAAATATGCAACTTGTATAAAATCAAGAAGTGATCAATGATGTGAACTCTTGTAAAATGATTTATCAGAATAAATCATTAGATTGAATAATATTAATTGAATATGAGAATGTTTTTAATTATATGTCAATTAAATCAATTTTGACTATTTTAAAGTCAAACACCCAAAAATATGATGTCAGAAAAAGTATTTCAGAGAAATGTGAAAATTATATAGTTGTGTCGAGCTTGACTGTTCTAACTGCAACGGTGCAATCGCATTTTAATTTGGAGAATGTTGGATAAAAAAATATACTCCAATTAGGATAAAATAATTCATAATCACTAAGAGGCGTATAAAATCTCCCACGATAGCAATAAGCCACTGAATTGCCGAGCAAGGATGCTGCAAATCTCCCATGACATATACCTTCGCTTCTTCCTCTTCTCTAGCCTATTTAAGGAGCTTCATCCTCCTTCAATTCTCCATACCACTGAATTGCCGAGCAAGGATGCTGCAAATCTCCCATGACATATACCTTCGCTTCTTCCTCTTCTCTAGCCTATTTAAGGAGCTTCATCCTCCTTCAATTCTCCATCAATCTTCTTCTTTCTTCTTCCTATAGTTTTATTAGAGTATAGAGAGTAGGCCGCAAGTGATAAGTCGCCAGAGTAAGTCGTGGTTGTTGTCGGAAGTTACATCGGAATGTTGAAGAAGAAGAAGAATCTCTGTGCAAATCAGTCCACTTGTGAGCAATTTTATACCTTCTAAACTTTGTTATTTTAATTTGGTTTTTCACAAAAGTTCTGGCCTTATGTCTTATGAATTCGTAGCTTCAAACGGTTCGTGATTTTATTGAGTAACGAAGGAGATATGACCCAAATATTAGCATTTGTATTGTGGTGACGGGAAGTGACGAACTTCATGGATTCCGACGTTGTTTTTGTTCCCGTTCGTTCGTTGAGTTTCATCATGTCAATTCCAGGCCTGTACCATGATTTTAAACAACGTTCGAATGCGTGGAATGATCCTTGAACATGTTGATTCAAATATATTTCAAAATATAAATATTTTTATACTCATAACCACCAAACTTGATTTTGTTGTCAAAACTTCAAATAAGTTGTTTAAAAATGATATATGAATGTTAGATAACATTTTTATATAGTTAAAATGAAGTTTGGTAACAAAAGATTATATTTAAGAAGCTTGAACCAACGAAAAAGACGAAGTACTATTCATGTCTGTGTTTGGTACGCAGTAGCAGTGGAAAAATGCTATCGCTGCACGATAACAAGCTACCGCCATAGCACAACCAGTACTATTTGGAAATAAACCAGGTCCGAAAATGAATCTAGAAAATCCTATTTTGCTACTTTTCAATTATAAATCAGTATTAATATCATTTTCTAGTTAAATATAATGTTTTGATCAATTCTAATACCTTATTTGATGCATGACGGTAAGCTAGGGTGTTAACACTCGACGCTAGGCCGCTATTTGTTATTTAAATATTATGATGATGATTATTATTTATTGATTATGATGATTGAGCCTTGATTAAATAATATCCTGATTAAATGATGACTATGAACAATTAAGGCTCTCTAGAAAAACTCTAAGATAGACTTCATGTGATCAATTTAGTTAGGCATTGCTATTATGATATCTGATGCCTCGGGTTAAAACGTACGTACAGGATCTACAAACCAAACTAGATGATTACTCGTTTGGAATACCACCCAACCCAATGGTGAGCAGATCGCTTTTCGGTTTCTGAGCGTGACCTATAAGACTCACATGATAGGTCATGATTTTGTAATTTGCCTTAAACTAATTATAGTTTAAGAGTCTCGTTATCAATTAGCCTTAAATTAATTATAGTTTAATAGCCTCGTTATCAATATAACTTAGTCTTAGATTAAGAATAGTTTAAGAACACTGTTTTGATTTGGCCTTAAAGAGTGAATTCCAAAATGGTAATTTATGATTATGTGTTTTCCAAATTTCTATTGAAAATAAACTACTTGTATTGAGGTGGCACTAAAAAAATGAGAATAATGCTTAAGAGGTACTTTGGTAATTACTATCATCGAGATTTAGAGATTTTTCCTAAATGGTCTTTGCGGATTGACCATTAGTTTTATATTTTCTAGTATGAGAATACTATTAAAAAAAACTAGTAATTTGATTTTAACAAATTTGAAAGTAAACATTTTTTATAGTTTAATGTAAATAATGTAAATAAAAATTTTAATTTGTATTTATTTTCTCCTTTCATTCGGAAGCAATGTTCATCTTTAGATCCTCGAAAAAGGCTCATCCTTAGTTTAAAATGTTTGATCGGAGATGCTTTCAAATAAATATAATTGATAATTGGTGAAGAATTTTAAAAAATATACCCGGGGTGAATTATAGACGGACACGTGAAGTTCCACAAATTAAACAAGTTGGCGCATGAATATTTTTTAAATCTATCAACAAAGGGAGTACTCCGTATTATTTAGTCATAATAATTTCATAATTTCTAACCAGTAACTGAACCACCCAAATTCAAATAG